TCAAGCAATCCTCCCACTTCATTCCCCAAGTAGCTGGGACCACAGGCACATGCCACCACACTTGGCTAATTTTTTCTGTACTTTATTTGTAGAGTTGGGATTTTGTCATGTTGCCCAGGCGGTCCTTCAATGTCTTGATCAACTGGTATCTTCTTCTTCCTTTTTTTTTGAGATGGAGTTTCCTTCTTGTTTCCCAGGCTGGAGTACAATGGTGCAATCTTAGCTCATGGCAACCTCCCTCTTCTGGGTTCAAGCAATTCTCCTGCCTCAGCCTCCTGAGTAGCTGGGATTATAGGCATGCGCTACCATGCCCAGCTAATTTTGTATTTTTAGTAGAGACGGGGTTTCTCCCTGTTGATCAACTGACATCTTACTGATGCAGATGGAGCCTTCCTAGCCAAGAACATAGCCTATATTTCTCTTTGTTCAAGTCTTTTTCCGTATCCTTTTGCAGGATTAAAATTTTTTTCTTCACACAGATAATGCATATTTCTGGCAAAGTTTATTTCTATGTATTTTTCTTTTTCCACTGCTTTGTAAATGGGGTCTTCCATCATCTTTTTTGCCTTGTTTTGTTGAGATGGAATCTCGCTGTCACCCAGGCTGGAGGGCAGTGGTGTGCTCCCAGCTCACTGAAATCTCTGCCTCTCAGGTTCAAGGGATTTGCCTGCCTCAGACTCCCGAGTAGCGGGGACTACAGGTGTGTACCACCTGTAGTCCCAGCTGTTTGTTTAGTAGAGATGGGGTTTCACCTTGTTGGTCAGGCTGGTCTCAAATGCCCAACCTCAAGCGATCCACCCACCTCTGCCTCCCGAAGTGCTGGGATTGCAGGCATGAGCCACCACACCAGCCCTATTATATTTTTATGTCTTGTAATTTTTGCTCTAAGATTTTGATATATCCTTAGGGGATCAGGCTACATCAAACAAGCTTGATAATTGCTTCTTTACGCTAGCAAGTAGTTCTCAATCTGTCTTTCTGTGCTACACATATGACAGGTGACCCTGACATAAACCAATCAATCTTGCAGGTGTTCCCTGTTTCTTAGGGGCTTTAGCAGAGATAAGCAAGGCTGTGATTTTTTTTTTTTAGCAGTCTATGGTAATTTATCATATACCTATTGTCTCCCAACACTGTGTTAGGGGTCAGGGACCATCATGGTGACTAAGACAGGCTGAGTCTCTGCTGTCATGGAAGTTGATCACTTATTCCTAGCCTAATAAATATATTCAACTGATAACTGAAAAATTATAAGGGTACAAAGTTCTACTAAGAGGCTATGAGAGTGGAACACAGATAATTTGTCAAAGGTTAACATTCACGCTTGTAATCCCAATGTTTGGGAGGCTGAGGCGGGTGGATCACCTGAGATCAGGAGTTCAAGAGCAGCCTGGCCAACATGGTGAAACCCGGTCTGTACTTAACATACAGAAATTAGCCAGGTGTGGTAGTGTATGCCTGTATTCCCAGCTACTGGGGAGGCTGAGGTAGGAGAATCACTTGAACCCAGGAGGCAGAGGTTGCAGTGAGCCGAGATCGCACCACTGCACTCCAGCCTGGGTGACAGAGCAAGACTCCCAAGTAGCTGGTATTACAGGTGTGAGCCACCTCACCCATCCAAGAAAAGTATAATCTTTAGATAAAAATCAACTTATCAGGCCAGGTATGGTGGCTTACGCCTATCATCCCAGAATTTTGGGAGGTTGAGGTGGGTGGATCATCTGAGGTCAGGAGTTTGAGATCAGCCTGGCCAATAAACAGGAGCATTGCTTGAACCTGGGAGGCAGAGGTTACAATGGGCTGAGTTCACACCACTGCACTCCAGTCTGGCCCACAGAGCAAGACTCTGTCTCAAAAAGTAAAACACAAAAATAAAAAAATTAGCCGGTGGCTGGGTGCGGTGGCTCAAGCCTGTAATCCCAGCACTTTGGGATGCCGAGGCAGGTGGATCACGAGGTCAAGAGATCGAGACCATCCTGGTCAACATGGTGAAACCCCATCTCTACTAAAAATACAAAAAATTAGCTGGGCATGGTAGCGTGTGCCTGTAATCCCAGCTACTCAGGAGGCTGAGGCAGGAGAATTGCTTGAACCCAGGAGGCGGAGGTTGCGGTGAGCTGAGATCGTGCCATTGCACTCCAGCTTGGGTAAGAAAAGCAAAAACTCCGTCTCAAAAAAAAAAAAAAAAAATTAGCCGGGTATGGTAGCACATGCCTGTAATCCCAGCTACTTGGGAGGCTGAGGCACGAAAATCGCTTGAACCTGGGAGGTGGAGGTTGGAGTGAGCTGAGATTGCACCATTGCACTCTAGCCTGGGCAACAGAGTGAGACTGTCTCAAAAAAAAAAAAAAAAAAAAAAAAAAAAAAAAAAAAAATCAATGTCTCAAAGCACTTTTACGAGCTTTGCATGTCCCCATTCCTTAACACAAATGCATATAATTTATCTTGTGAGAAGGAATACACAGAATTTATCATGAGGTACTTAATGCTCACAGTTTCTTGTGAACCAGGAACACACAGCTTCCATCTTTTTCCCAAGATAAGTAAAAATTATTCCTTAATTCTTGGCAAGAGTCAAGTGGTCTTTAGGACCTTGGAAGAGAACTTGACTGAGTTTCTAGGTACAAATAGAAGAAAACAAATCGAAGTGACCCACTCCTGGTCAGGAACAGTGTCCCATGCCAGGAATAATCCCCCCACTACTTTGGGAGGTCGAGGCAAGAGGATTGCTTGAGCCCAGAAGTTTGAGACCAGCCTGGACAACTTACTAACACCCTGTCTCTATAAAAAATTTTAAAATTGGCCGGGTGTGGTGGCTCATGACTGTAATCCCAGCACTTTGGGAGGCCGAGGTGGGTGGATCACGAGGTCAAGAGATGGAGACCATCCTGGTCACATGGTGAAACCCCGTCTCTACTAAAAATACAAAACATTAGCTGGGCATGGTGGTGCGTGCCTGTAATCCCAGCAACTCAGGAGGCTGAGGCAGGAGAATTGCCTGAACCCAGGCGGCGGAGGTTGCGGTGAGCCAAGATCCCGCCATTGCCATTGCACTCCAGCCTGGGTAACAAGAGTGAAACTCCGTCTCAAAAAAAAAAAAAAAAAAAATTAAATTAGCTGGGTGTGGTGGTGCATGCCTGTGATCCCAGTTATTCAGGAGACTGAGGTAGGAGGATTTCTTGAGCCCAGGAGGTTAAGGCTGCAGTGAACTGTATTCATGCCGCTGCACTCTAGTTAGGTGATAGAGCGAGACCCTGTCTCAACAATAACAAAAAAGAGATGTAGGAGGGAAGAAAATTGAGACTGGAAGTCATAGACCCACCACTTTCGTCCCCATGGGTGACAGCAAAACCTCCTTTGATGAGATGTCTGATTGTGCCCATGACCCCAGCTTTGGGTTTAGGGAGATCTCTCTGCATCTGCTCCTTTACCCAAGGAGCTATGAGATCCACACTGCTTGGAAGTTACAAAGAAAAAAAAGAGGCCAGGTGCGGTGGCTCATGCCTGTAATCCCAGCACTTCGGGAGGCTGAGGCGGGCGGATCAAGAGGTCAAAGGATGGAGACCATCCTGGCCAACATGGTGAAACCCTGTCTCTATCAAAATAAATAAATAAATAGAAAGAAAAAAAAAGATCACTTTCAGCGGAAGGCTGGACAATATCTGAATGTTCCTTAGTACTGTCTTGGATGGGCACTAAAGGAACGGTGAAAGTCCTTTGACTATTTTCGGTGTTCTGAAATTCAGTCTCATTGCACTTCAGAAAAAGCAAGGTAAGGAGGTCTTGTCTAGAGAAAGGTGTCCTCCCAGGCTTGGATAAGGCGCCAAATCCTCGTTTGGAGGGGCCTCTTCAGACACAGCCGCTCATATTCTGAATTTATATTCCCTTGGCAAGAGAGATTGAGCAATCTTTAAATTGAGAGATATCTGAGAGAGAGAGAGAGAGAGAGAGAGAGAGACAGAGACAGAGAGACAGAGAGAGACAGAGGGAGAGACAGAGAGAGAGAGAGAGAAGTATTTTAAATAGCGGGGAAGCAGTTCGAGTGAGCAGGAGAGAGGAGCCCTGTGCACCTGCAGTTCCTTCACTCACTCTGTTTCCTAGACCTCTCACAACGCGAGCATAATTTTCGCTGAGTGTGACCCCAAAAGTTCAAGATTCTCTACTGGCCACCCTGTTCTCCCTCCAACCTCGCATATAACATGGCTGCTAAAACCCACGTCGTTTATCTAGTTGTAGATGAAAGAAATAGCCATCTGGCACTTTTATCTCACTATAAATTTTCTTTTTTCTTTGAGACGGAGTCTTGCTCTGTCGCCTAGGCCGGAGTGCAGTGGCGCGATCTCGGCTCACTGAAACCTCCGATTCCCTGCTTCGAGCGATTCTCCTGTCTCAGCCTCTCGAGTAGCTGAGATATCTGGCGCCCGCCACCACGTCCGCCTAATTTTTGTATTTTTAGTAGAGACAGGGTTTCACCATATTGGCCATGATGGTCTCAGTTTCCAGACCTCGTGATCCGCCAGTCTCGGCCTTCCAAAGTGCTGGGGTTACAAGCGTGAGTCGCCGAGCCCAGCCAAATTTTCTAAATTTATTTATTGTGTGTTTTACTCACACAAGAACGTACGCTCCACGAGGGCAGGGATTTTTGTCTGTTCACCACTACATCCCTAGCTCTTGGAGGAATGCCTTGCATACAGCAAGCATTTAATGAACACTTACAGATGAAGGAAGAAACACTGCGGGAAGGAGAGAAACGAGGGCCAGAGGCAGGAGAAGAGGAAGGAACGAGAGAAGGAAGGAAAAAGGAAGTGGAGGAGGAAAGAAGGCAGGCCGGTTTTCCCAGCCCCGCTGCGAGTCCAGCAGGCAGCGCGAAACTCCCACCAGAACTACAATTCCCGGCAGGCCCCGGGGCCCCCAGGGCTGGCCGCCGCGGCTCAGGCGGTACATGGCTCCACGCCCGCTGGGCTACCGGCGTGCCTTGCGAGCGCAGGTTGCGCCGCAGCGCCCGCCGGAACTTGTGGTCCTGGCGGCGGGTGGGGGTGGGGCCGGGCCTGGAGGCGGGCGGGGGCCGGGGGCGGGCACCGGCCCCTCCCCCGTCACTTCCTGCCGTGCTGCGGGCGCCGGAGCGGCTCTTCAGCGTTTGCGCCGGCGGCCGCCGCGTCTTACTCGGCTCCCCCTTCCTTTGACCCCCCCCACCCCCCGGCCCGGCGGCGCCCGCCTCCTTCGTGGCCACTCCGCCTCTTCCCTCCCTTCGTCCCTTCCTCCTCTCCCTTTTTCCTTCTTCCTTCCCCTTCTCGCCGCCGCCGCCCAGGACCGCCGGCCGGGGGACGAGCTCGGGGCAGCAGCCAGGTGAGACGGCCGGGCCGGGCCGGGCCTGGCGGGGCCCGCGCTGGCGCCGCGGCGGTAGGGAGTGGGCGGCGGGTGGGGCCTAGGCCTCCGCGGGCCCGCGCACCCCGCCGCCTTCCCCCGGGCCTCTCTCCAGCCCGCGGGGCCTTCCTGGAGGAGGCGGGTCCTCCTGCGCCCCCCGCCTCGGGGCGCCCCGAGGCCTGGCCCCCGGGCGCCCCCATCCGCTCCAGCCCTCGCCGGGGACACAAACAGGTGCCGCGGCCGCCTTTCCTCGTCCCGCGTGGCGCGCGCTGGGATGCCGAAGTTATTCCCGGGGCTGGAGCTGGGGGTGGGGGGGGTCCCCGTTTCAGGTCCCCGAGAGCTGGAGTCTCTCAGTCTCGCCTGCCCAGGTCTGTAGCTTAGTGGTTAAGAGCAAGCACGGCCCAGGTGTCCAAAACGGGTGCCAATCCCGGCTCTGCCCCATTAGGCAAGACACTTAAACTCTTTGTGTCTTGGTTGGAAAAGGGGCTGCTAACACCGTCCCTGCCTCTTAAGGCTGTTAGGGTTCAGTGAAATGGGGCGTGTAAAGCGCTTATCAGAGTGCCAGACCCACAGCGTGTCCCAATAAACCGTCTGCATAATTTATTAGCGTGATATGAAGGGATAATTTAGTGGGTAGAGTGGATAGAAGTTGACCTACCTATCCGTTTGGGTTTCTTAGAGGCTGCAGTGTTCCGCGTGCCCATGTCTAGGCATTGTTTTGAGTTGTTAACATCTGAAAGAGGCGTACACTTAATTGGAACACTGTAGTTGGCAGTCTGTAAACGATAGATGCTATTTCTTCCCATTTCCTCGGCTTAGCCGACTGCAGGATATTCACCAGCTCCCGCAGGATGAGCAACCTGTCCATTTCCCCCCGCCCCGCCATCATCCAGCTTCTTCTTGTCATTCCATTTCTGGGAAAGTTGCTGGCAGAAGCTTCGCTTGAGTTAAGCAGACCTATCAGGAGCACTTGCTGTGTGTCAGGCTTTGAAGGGGGGTGTACGAAGGTGGAAAGATTTGTCTGTCTTTTCTTGCTCTACGTCTCTTTTAAGTTTTTTTTCACCGAAGCTTTGCTTTTGTTCCCCCCTCCCTGATGGCTGACTTTCCTTTTAAGCCCTTGCCCCGCCTCCTTGTTGCAGTATTGCTTGTGTGGAAGTTTTCTTCGGTTCCGCGAAGATACGCGCCTCAGTCCGTTCTGTCACTGTTCTTTGGCCGTGTGGACCTTTTTAAGGTCATACTTCTCTTCTGCTTGTAGCTTTCATTGTTCAGAGCGTGGCGGAAAGAGTTAAATCAGGTTCCTTGTTGATTTTGGCCTTTCAGGAATCCGTGCTTACCAAATGTAAATTACGTTGCTACTTGTTGAGGTAAAAACTAAAAATACAGTTGGAGTGTAGAGCGAGCAGTTTCGGTTATCCTGGTGACAGGTGGGATTTTTAGAACATCAACTTTATTAAAGGATACTGGGTTTAAAAAATTTTTGTACTTAGTTTTATAGGTGTACTCTAAGGAAATGCAACTTATGGATGTTAAATTTTATACGAGTAAGGAGTGTGTTTACTTGAGTGATACTCCTGTATCGTTGTAGGCATTGAATTTCCTTAGTGAACTGAAAATATTTTGATTTATACCCATCTCTTAACACACATGCGGCAAAGTGGCCTCCTTGTTTCTTGACATTTTCCTAGAATTTTCTGACAGTCTTTTTTTTTTTTCTCCCCTCCGGAGCTGGAGTCTCACTGTTGTCTCCCAGGCTGGAGTGCAGTCGGCTCACTGCAACCCCTGCCTCCCGGGTTCAAACGATTCTCCTGCCTCGACCTCCTGAGTAGCTGGGATTACAGGTGCCTGCCATCGCGCCTGGCCTGAATTGCTCTTTTAAAACATGTAAGCGGGCAGGGCTCAGTGGCTCACACCTGTAATCCCAGCACTTTGGGAGGTGGAGGCGGGTGGATCACGAGGTCAGGAGATCGAGACCATCCTGGCCAACATGGTGAAACCTCATCTCTACTAAAAATACAAAAATTAGCCAGGTGTGATGGCGGGTGCCTGTAGTCCCAGCTACTCGGGAGGCTGAGGCAGGAGAATCGCTTGAACCCGGGAAGCGGAGGTTGCAGTGAGCAGAGATAGCGCCACTGCTCTCCAGCCTGGGCGACAGAGCGAGACTCCGTCTCAAAACAAAACAACACAACACCTCGTAACCAAACAACTAGTATACAAGCAGTATAAAGCATGTCCTCTATTGCTGCATCACAATGGCATATTGCAATAGGGAAATGGTATTTTGAATACCATTTTTTAAAAGTTTTTTATTCTGGAAAATATGCAAAAATTGAATAGTATGGAGAACCCCATGTATTAGTCACTCAGCTCTGACAATTATTAACTCATAGCCAAGGTCTGTCTTGTTTCATGTTGCATCCCCCTCACAAACTAGATTATTTTCAAAGAAATTTTGAACATCGTATCAAAACATTAGCGATTTTGACTTTTACCAGATTGCCCCAGATTATTAATGTCACAGAATCTACTTTTAGTAGAACCATAGTTTTCATTTTATTTGTTGGGCTTCACTGCTCTGTTTATAGATGATTTCTGTACAGCAGAAAAGAAAAATATAGCTCTTGCTCCAATGCTCTGCCCTCCTCAAAATCAAAATACAGCCTTGCTTCTTTGTTGTGTACAAAAGCAAAAATTCTTGAGCTATTAATGACTATAATTGAAAAGCTATCAGAAATACAGATTTCCCCGATCCTGTTTTGGCAGAGATCTGACTGTTAACCCACTTTTATAGAGATAACTTTGTGTCAAAGTTAAACTACAGTTAATAATTTGTAATGCAAACTTACTTTCTTTACAGTAGTGTAAATATACTGCTGTTACCCTAGGTTAAGAATTAAGCAAAATATAATCTTTTGTTGTAGAATTGTTTTTCGAAGAGCCCCCATCTGCTCTATTTGCAAATAACGAATTTAGCAAATATGAATGAAATCTTAATTTTTTGGAATGGTATGAAATCACAACATAAGTGTTCACATTTTTCTTTGTTGCCTAAAAGATCTCTTACTATGGAAGGTGACAGGAATATTATAAATGTTTGTCGTTGTTGCTTAACTTTTCAGATTTCTAGTCATGAATAGTTTTCCAGATTTTAGATGTATAACATTATCATTTCAGTTTTGTACGTTTACTTTTGAGCTTGGTCAAGTACAGTGGAAATGTTACATGTTGTGTTTTAGTTATTACTACCTAGAAAATGGGGAAGGATACACCTCTTAAATTAATAATTTAGGAAAAAAACACCAATTTAGTATCTGGGAAAGGACCCAACACATTTAACAAAATGTGTAGTGCTTCCCATTAAGCTTAAAGTAAAACTTTTAAGCATTGAGAATTGTTACCATGAATATAGTTTCTTCAGAATAAGTTGCTCTCTCTGGGCGTGGTGGCTCACACCTGTAATCACAACACTTTAGGAGGCCGAGGCAGGTGGATCACCTGAGGTCAAGAAATGAAGACCATGCTTGCCTACATAGTGAAACCCCGTTTCTGCTGAAAATACAAAAATTAGCCGGTGTGGTTGCAGGCGCTTGTAATCCCAGCTATTCTGGAGGCAGAGGCAGGAGAATCACTTGAACCTGGGAGGCAGAGGTTGCAGTGAGCCGAGATCGTGCCATTGCACTCTAGCCTGGGCAACAAGATCGAAACTCCATCTCAGAAAAAAAAAAAGTATATATACTTGACATTTATTTCGGTGTTTAATATTAGAAGTGTTTTGGTCTTTATTTAAAAGTTTGGTGATGTTTTTCTGACGAGAAATATGCCCTAGGAACCTAACTCTTGTTTGTGTCAATTAGCCTATGTTAGTCTGAAGTCTTAGTTTCCAAGAACATATCCATTACATTAAGAGGATTTACTGTATTTTTTTTGTTGTTGTTGGATTCTAAACATTTTAAGTTTAGAAATGGGCATGACTCATGGAACTCTCCCCTAAAGTCCAAATCATTAATGTCATTCTGGGTGTTATCAAATATGGATGCTGCTTCATCTAGTCTCTTTCGCCAATACCACAAGGCAGTCTCAGTTTGTAGGGCAACTTTGTTTGAGCCTTTTTATTGGATTGAGTAAGAGTGTAATTCAGTATAAAGATGAAACTTTCGGCCGGGCGCGGTGGCTCAAGCCTGTAATCCCAGCACTTTGGGAGGCCAAGGCGGCTGGATCACGAGGTTGAGAGATCGAGACCAACCTGGTCAACATGGTGAAACCCCGTCTCTACTAAAAATACAAAAAATTAGCTGGGCATGGTGGTGCGTGCCTATAATCGCAGCTACTCAGGAGGCTGAGGCAGGAGAATTGCCTGAACCCAGGAGGCGGAGGTTGCGGTGAGCCGAGATCGTGCCATTGCACTCTAGCCTGGGTAACAAGAGCGAAACTCCATCTCAAAAAAAAAAAAAAAAAAAAAAAAAAAGATGAAACTTTCATGAAAAAGTTTTCTTTTTGTGGAATTCTATAAGCCAGTCTGTAGTTTGGTGCCCAGGCTGGTCTTGAACTCCTGAGATCAAGTAATCCTCCCACCTCAGCCTCCCTAGTAGCTGGGATTATAGGCAGAGGCCTTGTTTTCAGGAGCCTCTAAATTGGATCATCTTATTTGATGTCATGCCTAGTGATGCAGAATTGTTCAGTTTGAGGAAAGGTGAATTCCTCCCCTCTCAAGTAAGAGCTTTGGGGTTGCTTTCTTCTCAGAATGGGATATTAGAGCTTTCAAAACTGTTTAGAGAATTCTTTGACAGATTTTTTTCACATGACTTAACAGGTGGTTTTACATTGACTTCTGGTGATGGAGACATTTGTGATTGAAATGCTTCTGGTGTAATTTTCTACATGAGCTCTTTAATACTTCACCAGAATCAAGGCTATACCATTTGTGTTGTTCCAGAAAATATAAATTGCCAGTTAATTGTTGAACTGAGAGGACATGTTAGTTGCTA